AAACGAATGCGAGTCCGCCCGCTCCGAATGCGCCCAATCACTATCCTAAAAATTCACCGAAAAGCTTCATTTCATAATCAAAATTTCAAATTTATTTCCACGCAAAAGGGTCGCTAATTAAATTTCCATCAATTTCGAATTCGAATTGATTAAAAGCCAGTTATAAATTGCCCGGGTTATGTAAGCACCGGGCGAAAGTTGTAGATTCGAAGACAACTTAATTTTAATCTCGTGAACTTTATTTCGCGACTACGTCGTGACGCCGCCGAGCTTTCGCGCTCGACTCGAATTTTTATTAGAATAAAAAGTAAAAAGAAGCTGGTCGGGCGGGCGAAATTCGACGGCGACTCCGCGATAGAGGTATCCCGGCTTTTCCATTTATTTTTAATTTATTTTAGTAATTTCGATTTAATCGGTTATTCTGCTCGTGTCTAACCGGTCGGTCGTTTGCTCGGAGACAGGGCAATCTAAATCGCGTTATAACCAGTTACGGAAATAATTAAATGAGTTTATCTTTTTTTGCTGGTTTGTTACAGATCGACAGGAATAGCCAGAGACACTAAATGGTCTTTTTCTGAAATGCGCATTGGATGCTGCAGCTATTCGTGTCGATCTGTAGATACTAAATAATTTCCAATTTAGCTTATTGAAAAACAGCGAGAATGTTGCTTTCGAAATTACACCATTCTCCGGAGTATTTTGTGAATGCTATTATACTATTTTTGTATATAGATTTAATTGCTGCGCAAGCACATCAATGATCTATCAGATTTCATTAGTAAATTGAACGCATCGAAATCCATTGAAATCTCGCTGCAGCGTCATAGGAGAGATGCAAAATGATTAATCAGTTGCGTTATCACGATATGTAACTAATTCATCGCCCTTTAATTAGTAGCTGCAGATTAAACGAATGTATAGGCAGTGGAGATTATTTCAATTTGCTAATTAAATTCTATAGCAAATTGAATATTAGCAGATTGGCCACGGGTTAAAAAATTAAACCAATTTTTTACCATTAGTTTAAAATGATTAATTTGCGTTCTGAATTGTTCCGAACAGTTACAATTCTTCCTATAAAGCATCCCAAATTGTTCAGAAGAGTTCTATTTTATCCTGAAGCATACTAAATCGTTTTGAACTATTCTATTTTGTCCAGAAGCGTTCTAAGTCGTTCTGAACAGTTCTAATTCTTCCTGAAGCATCCCAAATTGTTCTGGCCTATTCCAGTTTCATAATGAAGCGATTATCTCTTTCGACCCTTAAAAAATCAAAAATATTTCAGTGACCTTATCTGTCCCGAAAATGCGATTTGCATGCCAGCCAATTTCGTCCGAATTCCAATTAAGATATTAAGACCTCTGTAAATTAATTTCGTTTTGGTTTGTCTAACGGCCTCGACCGGCGTATACCGTTCTGACAATTTCGGATCCTGCACAATAGTAAATTAGATTTCGGATGGTATTAATGTCGTGATTGCGGGACTCCCGTATTAATGTAATTCTCTAAGTGCACAACTAAACTGGATGCTGTGACGTGGCTGTTGATCTTTCGAAAGTGAAGCCCGGGATGCTTTTAAATGACAGCGAACCAGTAAAGGCATGAATGAGGCGACCACTTGCGGTTGATGGAAACTATTAATATCTGTTAAAAAAAAACGATAACTAATTTGGAAGAACTTGTGAATTGTGCAGTGCTGCAAGTTTACATGTTACAGTTGAAGTTTCTGGATTGTGTCTATATGTACTTATCTAGATTCAGATGGATATTTGCGAATACACACATCTAAGCTCCACGTAAAATTAACTCGACACGTTCATTTTGTGTTAATTTACCTATTCAGTCCAATTTACTCGACAGAACGGGAAAAATTCGTCTGTATATAACATCCTCTTTTAAGAATTTACTGCATTATTCTAATTACAATAAAAATACTCGCCACAAAAATACCGCATAGTCTAATTAGAGAAGTAAATTTTTTCGGATGAAAATTTCCAAACGTAAATCTGCTGTAAATAATTTATTCCCTGTTTATCCCGAACTACCTATATCACGTACAGAACTTTGAGCATCCGCAGAAGCTAATAAAACTAATTTCCATGAAGTTCGCTTAAATTTTATAGCTGAAAAGTTTGTCGTATGTTAAGCCAGACTGGCACGTAACTACCATTTTTACATAATTAGGGCAGGAATTTACGTGAAAAACAGGCGCAGATAAACTGCTGAAATAGAGAGATACTACTATTTTTTTACGTAAACCTATTGAGGGACTAATATATGGGGACAGGGGATTTATTGCTATTACTTTCTAAGGAAAGGAATGTTTTTGAGTTGGTTTTTAAATCAAGATTATATTGACTCTGTAAGTACCAGTAAACGAATGTTGTGCACGCAACATTTCAGGTAAAAGAAATGACCTCAATTCAATTGGTCTATACTAGCTAAAATTCAATACTATGAAATAGTATAGTATGTAATATTTGTATGTAGGTATTGGAGTATTCGGCGACATTTTAAATGATGTCTCAAAATAAACTCTCGGCATATGTTTACGATTTTTATCCGTTTAACCCTCGAGTTTTGGAAAAACGTGGGCGACTATAAGAAACGGGCCGGAAAAAATATGGAAAAATATCGGGAAAGCGAACGGCTGATACATAAATTTCCAGTTACCGTTTATGCTCGTATTGGCATTTTGTTATTTTCATTCAATACCGTTCCGTGTTGATGCATTTTCGATATGTTTTGCTTTTGTTATATCCATTACGTTTCATTCTATTTATTTTACTTCTCTGTGATAACATTGATAAAGAAAATAACCCATTTTCGTTAAGAGAAATATCATAAAATGCGCAATATCTCTATGATGTCCCATTCAAAACACGAAAACTGTTATTTTGTCTTTACAATAGATTCATGTTTATAATCGCACGATAATAGTCGATCTTCCTATTTTTTTTTTCTTAAGCAAAAATTTACCAGTAAGAGTGTTATTTAAGTAGGTATACGGGTGAAACTTTATTCGGCTATCAATCCGCGCCGTTAATATTTACAATAAATTTTTACAATACAAATTTCGCTTTTATCGCGGATGTAAAATCGAAATTTGAACTAACCGCAGCCGAAGCGAGCGCGTGATTGGCCCTAACTTTTTACGGATATGACTTCATTAGCTATTCAGTACTGAACATTTAAATAAATTTATAGTTCGCATCTGCCGGATATATATAGGGCCGTTTCCTATCCTCCATGGGACTAATCAATTTCGAATAAATATCGACTTATAGAGGATACGCCGCTCGTTTATCTCTATCAATTTATTAAAAGTTCGTCCGATTCGGCGAGATGTGCTTATAAAAATCGTGGAAATGTGAACGAAAAATTCTCTCTCGGAAATTTAATAATTTTGATCTCAACCAACTCGGCGAAAAAAATAATAAAAAACATGTTACAAATGTATTGAGTTAGTTAACAACCTATCCAATAAAAACGTACAAATTCGATGGGCTCTCTTAACTCCCGAAAATTTATTCGAACAATAGAAAAAGCCGAAAATAATTACCGACCGAACAATAACGGCCGCCGCGAATCGACGATTACGCGGAAAAAACATTTTGTTGACAGAAATTTGACGATTCAGATTTTTCCGACGATTGTTACGCGTTGATAAATAGAAATTCAATCGCGCGCAGTTTCGGTTTGTCGATGACATGAAATGAAATTTCTGTATCGGCTCCCGCAACAATACCGGCAGCATCCGCGTCCCATTCGCGAGCGCGTAAAAAACCATTTCATTGTTGCGGTGCGAGCGCGCGATGCCATCGTTGCTGGCCGAAGGGGAGAATGTTTGGAAAATTTTTAATAAGTGCTTCAGACCGCATTTGCTTTCCCTCCCGGCGAGATTCCCCAGAACAACTGGTACAATTACCCTATAGCTGTTGCGATCAATTTTTTATACTTTATTTTTGTACGAAACAATAAATATTTTCCTCGTAAGATAACCGTGTATGGATTTAGGAACGTAACCGCATTCGAAGGAGTTAAGCTTACCGAAGAGAAACAACCCGACTCGTGTAGACCGCGATGAAATTCGTTCTTATAAAATAGGTAGCGAGCGGGAGCTCTTGTTTTTCTTGTAAACCGGGCGCGAAGTTACCGAAAACTTTCGTCCCTTACGGTTTCCAAGGAATTTCCTTCTTTTATATTTGCCATAATAAATCAGAACGCGAGTTACCGGTCTGGATACAAAATATACACTCATCATTCATTTCACCTATAGGTACGAGCACAGCGATCCCAGATAAAATCGCCGGATGATCGGCTCCGCAAACTTCGTTACGGATTCTTTGATACGGAAATGATTGATGGAGAGAGTAAACAAAGGTTAACAAAAATATGATACGTTAAATGTTAACAAGGATTGTTAATACATTCAATGTGAATGCAAAATTGTTCATCATTAAAGCGTGCTTAGGAAAGCAAATATTTTTCAGCATATACAAACCGAATTTTCGCTTTGTTTTCAGGCAACTGTAAAATAGTTGTGCCGATGACATGCGAAACGTTATTACATTTGCGCATTCGTTAAATAACTCGTAGCTCGCAGTGCAAATGACGATTTCCTCGTCGGGCCTCACAACATTCACATTATTACGAATGTCGCCTGTTTATTGGCCTTTGACGTGGCCCGTCACCCATGCTTTTGCATTCCGTTTTTAATTGAAGGAAGCTTTTACGACACCCGCACGAAATTGCAAAATTCTTTAATCTAAACTAACATATGCAGAACGCCCATGTGCTGTCATTAAACACAAAACTCTTCTCAAAATCACCATATAGGTAATAATATTAATGAATTCCGGCTTGTTCCTTTCATAAAATCTTGTATAGAATAATCATGGCAAAAAAACTCTGATCGGATAAACCGGGAAAGGGGATCGCGAGATGGCGTATTGGTTTGCCCGACCCGCCTTAAGGAAATACATAAAGGTTTTCTTTAGGGCGCCCTGGATGAGCTGAAAATATTCGGAGATCCGAATATGGCGTCGGAGCAATGCAAAACGGATTTTCAGGTTTGTATGTTTTATAGATGTTGTCGTTACTGCCTCTTGTCGTTTGAATACGTAGGTATAACATATACTCGACGTGTAGCTGTTGGATTTATGAATTTACTGCGGTAAAGCAAAAATTCGACGGTACGAGAACTCAGAACTCTAATACATATGTAGAATTAATTTTTAATACCGTTAAAATGTGTTAAAATGTATTAACAGCGAGTAATTCGAGTAGTCGTAATCGTAAAAATGTTGCTAGGAAACAAATCAGGTCGAATTTATGTGAGAAACATCGCCGCAAAACCCGCTAAGCTCTCCAAGTTGTACAACAAGCTACGAAATGGAACTTTGCAAATTTGTGTTCCGCATTAGTTTCAACTTCATCTACAGTAGAGCTGTACATTTTGCGATGAAAATTATCTCGGTTATTAGAAATTGCAGCACAATAGTCGAATTAACCTTAGATTGTCTACCAACTTAGGTTAAACGTAGTTTCTTTTTTTTTATTTTGGAAAATATGGTGCTGTAGAATTCATAAAAAACATCTTCGAAGGAAGAATGTAAAAATAGAAAAAAATACAACGCTGTTACTTTATCTCATTTGCTCACTCGGAATAAGGATTTCGCTGTACTAAATTAACAACATAATTTATTGATGATTCTGCAGCATTAAATTTTCGTTGTAGCTTTTTTGTTTTTATTTAATTTTATGTTTTAACCATCAGGGTTTTAATGTACTCGGAGACGAAGACACGAATAATGCAGTAAGTAACATTGTGTCTAAATTTCACTAACATATTTTTAGATACAATTAAATACTTTACTAACAATAATGGCGTTAGTACGTACATTTTTAAATACATTTTCCCTTTTGTATTCACCTATTTCGTCGCCCCGTCAAAGGTACGTATGTCCCGTGAGCAAGAAATTGTTTGGCCTAATTTGATTATTCAACCTCGCCCGGAAACAGAGGAGTAGAGGCGGAATAAAAAGAACGGCAATCTCACCTTTTCCGCTCAATTACTATGCAAAGGAAAGTGAAATTGAAAAAACAATTTCGCCTACCAAAGGAACAAGATTTACCTAATAAAATGTTAAAATTTAAATGCCGGAATTAGGATCGAATTCCTTCGACTACATACCTTTAACTCCCTCGTCTCACGCTCCTTTTTAATTTCTCTCAAAGAATTAATCTCTACGCGCATTTCAGGTCGAAAGAATGGACTACGATGGGACTTACAGAGAAGGAAGCGGCACCGACGAAATCGGCGCCTTCCCACCGCCTCCGCCTCCCCTTGATGGTAAGAGTTGCTTTTGCGATAAAGAAAATTGTTGTAACGTTCTTTCTGATGCCGATAAAGCTGCCGGATACTATCGAGGCGAAAAGGGCGATAGAGGATCAAGGGTAAGTTACATTTCCTGATATTTTACCTTACGTACATACCAAAAAAAAAGAAAAAGTTTGCTTTTCTTGATAAATTCTTTGCCTTCTGTAAACGTGGATTCAATTATTTGCAAATGAATTCTCATACTATATTCTCACACATATTATTCTCATACTATTCTCGTACTATTCTCATACTATTCTCATACTATTCTCATACTATTCTCATACTATTCTCATACTATTCTCATACTATTCTCATACTATTCTCATACTATTCTCATACTATTCTCATACTATTCTCATACTATTCTCATACTATTCTCATACTATTCTCATACTATTCTCATACTATTCTCACACTATTCTCATACTATTCTCATAATATTATCATACTATTCTCATAATATTCTCATACTGCAATTATTTGCAAACAAATAACTTTGACGAAGATTAATTATTAGTTATCTTTGAAAATTATTATGAATTCTATTTGAAATGTGTAATTCCCGTTGAAAGGAGTATGATAATTTCGGGTCTGGCGTGCTTTGATAGGATGCCGGTCGTTGTAAATTATTTTGATTATATTACGTAATCAGAAGGCAATTTATGCTCGGCTACACTTGATTGTAGGAATTTACTAATTAAAACGATGCTAAACGATTAGGATTAATGCAAAGACTTGTTTATTTTGGTCGTTTTTTACCGTCGTTTGTGATTAATTTTATTCGTGTTTGTACAGGGACCTCCGGGTGAATCGATTAGAGGACCGCCAGGACCACCAGGACCTCCTGGATTACCCGGTATTCCGGCACCTGAGGTAAGCTGTCGCCCTGTATACACTTGTTCTATTATAAACCGGTTTCCATTTACTTTTCCTTCGTCGCAATTAAAAAATTGCCGCGTAATTTTTCATTGTGTCGTTTCCGTTTGGGGAAATTTTTAATTGGAAATTTAAATTTAATCCTCGTCGTAAATTTTAAAATAGTTTCCATTTAAAGGACGTTAAGTGGCGTCGACGGGAGAGCCGCGCTCGCAGGAAGACTTAGCGGTTAACCTGGGAACCTGCGGGAGGATCGAAAAATTGATCGGGAATTTTTTCGCAGGCGTTTCTGTTAACTCGTCCGTTTAATAATGGAGCTTAGTCCGAAAGCTCGCTCAATTATCCCGCTTGTCTGTAGCAGTTTCTGAAGATTGGAGATGTTGATTAAAGTGGAACTTATTTCAATTATCTCGTTCCAACCTGCAATTGTTATTCATAAACTTTCTAAATCCTGAAATAATGGAAACTACTTCTGAGTTTATTATCATAGCGGAATTATATTGTAACTTGTATTATATTCAACTCAATTCATTCAACTTTATGGCTAATACTTTATTTTTTATTTATTAATTCTACTCTCGTTCGGCTCGTTGTAGGTATTATTTATTTTTGGTATTTATAAAGTTTTATATTTGAAGCCGAACGTAAAGTGATAGCAATATCGAAGAAAACTTTACAGCGATTAAAACGAATTACTGTAAATGTTCCAGTAAATTAGAAAATCATTACTAAAAGCGTTCGCCCGCTTACGATACTCCGAAGTTTCCCGCTGTCGCTCCTCCTCTATCTCTCCATTAAAACCTGTTTATACACGATAATTATAAACTCGTTATTACTAATATTTCACGGTTATTATGCGAATTGCTCCAGCGCGATGGATAATAGAATATCAAAAGAGCAGTAACCCGATCGACGTTAAACAGAAACTTATTTTCCGTCGAACGAGCGCTAATTTAACAAGAAACTCCCGAGTCACCCGAGTTTACACTCCGAAATTATTAAATTTTCCCTAAGCAGCTTTACGGTTGTAAACTTCAAATTCGATACCGTTTCGACTTTTACGCGAATTCTATCCGTTTCAGGCGGTTTGCTCCTGCAACATCACATCCATACTTAGCAGCATATCCGGCCAGGCGAACTTGCCGTTCACGCCTGCCGAGGCCAGAGCCGGACCGCCCGGGTTGACCGGACTACCCGGATCTCCTGGCGACATCGGTCCTGTCGGTCCGCCCGGAGAAAAAGGCGAGAGAGGCGACAGAGGCCCGGCCGGCATCGACGGCCTGCGCGGCCTCAAAGGAGAACCTGGAAGAGACGGAACACCCGGAACACCCGGTCCGCCGGGACCCCCGGGACCACCTGGTCCCGTGGAATTCGAGAATGTTGATGTAAGTATTGCATCGATACGCACTCTATTTTTTTCCTAATAATAATTTCGGAGTTTCTAATTGTGTTTTAACTAGGTTCCTACTGCTACTCTGGTACTTACTTTTACAGGTTTTTAGAGCGTTAGAATTGCATTACTAATTGTAATTAATTATTAATTTAAATTCACCCCTAAGCTCTAATGTATAATTACCGGCGAAACTGCTGTCAACAACGAATCGATTTCCAACATGCGACAATTAACAAAGGCGATTTAAAAGCGATTTGATGTTTTATTGAGACCCATACAAAGCAACAATATTTTTTAAAATTATAGCGGGATTTTCGTGCAGTTTCTGTGCAACAGAATTCCGAAGGGCGAGTTAGTAGGTGCATTTGTCGATTACTGTTTCATTTATAATTTAATCCAATCGAGTTTACCTTTTGTTGTTATTATTTTTTAACGCAGCCGAGTTGGAAACCTAGAGGACCTTTCAAGGTGAGAAATGCTTTTATTTCGAAGGAGCCGACATTCATACTGCCAAATGTCCGTTCACACGAGGATTTTTAATTATAGGAAACCGTGTTGGGAGGTTCGATGGTCCGGCCCGGCGTGCCGGGGCCCAAAGGCGATCCGGGAAAACAGGGTCCTGTGGGAGTTAAAGGCGAAAAAGGTGCGCCTGGATCCAAAGGTGCATTGGGAGAACCAGGTCTCAAAGGCGAAAGAGGAGATAGAGGTGAAAGCTCTATTAAATATTACCAGAAAGTTTCGAAAAGTAGTTATTTTGCAGGATTTCCAGGCGACAAGGGATCCCAAGGCAAGAAGGGAGACGACGGCTCGCCAGGACTCGACGGTATACCCGGAAATCCGGGTAAAAACGGCGAAAAGGGCGATAAAGGGGACACGGGAAACCCAGGACCTCCCGGTCCACCCGGAATCTCTGGTATACATGTTGCAGGTGACACCGCAGAAGATATTATTAAACTATTACCCAGCATGCCAGGGGAAAAAGGTGATCCGGGCGTTGCAGGACCTAAAGGTAACACACTAATTAATTACTATCATCCCTATAAATTATGGTGATTTGAAGGTGACAAAGGAGATCCAGGAATGGATGGGATACCAGGTGCAATGGCCATGCCTGGTGAAAAGGGTGAACCTGGTTTGGATGGAGCAGTCGGACCAGTTGGACAACCAGGATCCAAAGGGGAAAAAGGAGAGCGTGGACCTCCTGGAACAATCTTAACAGCAGAAGGAGGGGATGGTGTAATCACCGTTAAAGTTAGTATATTGTTGTTTAGGAATAAATCTGTTTAAAACTAAAAATCTTAATTATTAGGGTCAGAAAGGTGATATGGGCAAAAGGGGTAGAAGAGGCAAACCCGGACCAGTGGGACCGCCTGGAAAGCCTGGACAAATCGGAGAAATCGGTCTACCGGGCTGGATGGTACGTATTCCATTTTGTAGCTCGATGTTATTAAACATATTTAAAAAAATGATTATTAATTTGTAACTTTCAATTACATGCCGCCCAACAGAATTCGAAAGTAAGTCAGTGTAAAATAAAATTGCGCGTCCATTCAGGAAGTCAAAGGGTTGAAATTACGATCATTTAAAAATTTTACAATTTTCCTAAATGACCGTAAAATAAATTGCCAATCAAATTTAATCGACCGTAAAACTTTTAGCATTTGAAAAATAGTAAAAACTCGAATATAGCGCACGAATACTTGCTACATTATTTACCAATTCCATAACGAATGTTCTTTACGATTTCGCGATACTACACATAATTTTTTATGGTATCTACTCGCTAACTTTCAGAATCTAATTAAAATACGGGTAGGTAACAGGTATATAATTGCATTTTAATACAGCGTCTCGTTGCGTTTGCTTTGCTTTCCATCCCCTCAGTGCAGCTCGTATAATTTCCATTAATTGCATTCCTTGCAGGGACGGCCGGGAATACCGGGAGTTCCGGGCAACAAAGGAACAAAAGGGGACTTCGGATCGGTAAGTATCGCAATTTTATTTAGCGCTAATGGCGTAACCATCTCACATTAATCGGCCGGTCTTGTGCTTGTGCCGCAGAAAGGAGATAGAGGCCCGAAAGGCGATCAGGGCCTGCCTGGCAAGGACGGCATTCAAGGACCCCCCGGTCCTCCGGGAGCCGGATCGAGCGACGAATCTACGAGATACATCCCGGTTCCGGGACCGCCCGGTCCGCCGGGTCCACCCGGTCCGCACGGAGTGCCCGGATTATCTATAACAGGACCCAAAGGAGAGCCGGGCAGCCCCAGTTACGGGGAAGCGATACATTACAGCCGACCAGGTAAGAGAATTTGTACAAATATACGTTTTTTATTCGCCCATAAGAGTTCTTCGCTGATTAAGTGCTTATAAATTTTTAGCGTATATACGGAATTTTCTTGCTAATATTAACGCAACGACGCCTTCGAATCGGCGAATCGACTTTTCCATAACTTTTCTTGTAAATACGGTGAAAGTACAAAGCTAAATTCCAAGTTCTTTCGGTAGATTCGGTTCGTCGGCGTTCGATTTGCAATAAATTTTCGCGAAACTTTAATCGGCTGTAACTCGAAGCGACAACTATTCACCCAGCAAAAATATATACAAGTTTCTTTTTACCGATATTTCATATTTGGGCGTATGTCCCGGTCGAATTTGCGGAGACGATTTTATTATCGACGGGCGTTGTTTTCATGACAGTTTCTAATTTCATTACACTCTATATTCGGTGCGGAGTCAAAGTAGATTCCGAGTATTCGTGAATATTTTCACCGTGCAAATTGACCTGAGCGACAATAATGGAAAATATAGATTCCCCAGGTGAATTCGTACCGTCCGCAGACGCTTAAAAAACATTATTTGAAACGTTTAGAGTTCGAATGAATTTAAATTCGCTGAATTCTCTGATGTTTTGAATTTAGTAATACTTGTCCTTAATTTAGTTTTTGTTAAAAAATCTCTGAAGTATAGTCTGTTTAAAAATATAGGAATGTGGAAATTAGATAGTTAGTCTTGGAAATTAAACATAAGCACTTTTAGGCATGATATTTTTAACTATACACCATTTTTAAATACACACTCCAAACTGAAAATAACCCTAAAATAAAATTTCCTGCAGTTTTTCCTGCAAGGAAGCGAAAAACGTTTCCCGTAAATCTTAAATCCCTTTTGAAACAAGAAAATCTCTCATAATTAAAATGAGTATGTAAATATTTAACGATATTTTCCTGCTGCACAAAGGACCGAAAACCAGCTTGGAGGAACTTAAAGCTCTGAGGGAATTGAAAGAGCTGAGGGATTTGAAGTCAGGTAGGAAAACTGTGTTTTTCGTGTGCCCGAACTATGCGGCTCTTGTTTTCGAGCGCACTCGTTTAGAATCTACCTTTTTGTTATTAAATACGAGTTCGCTATTGTTCTACGGTTTAATGGGGGCGCATTCGTCGGTGGTCGGTGTTAAAGCGTACGCTTTGGAATTTTTAGTTGCGCTTTAAACGGTCGGCTCGCTTAGAAGCGGCTTTATGCAGTCGACGAGCTTTCGGGAGTGCTAATGAATGTAAGACTTTTCTACTTTAGGCAGGGCCACCGCCACCCCGCCCGTTCACAACCCCACGGACCAGCAAATTGCAGCGGCGCACGTCGTTCCAGGCGCGGTCACCTTCCAAAACAAAAGCGCCATGACCAAAATGACCTCGGCCAGCCCGGTCGGAACTTTGGCCTATGTTATCGAAGAAGAGGCGCTCCTTGTCAGGGTTAATAATGGCTGGCAATACGTCGCGGTAAGTCATCGATAACAAAAACAACATTACAACGGGTAATTGTGTGAAGCAATTTTTATTTAATCCTGCTAGTTGAATTTACATGTTTATCTGGAATTGTGACTAGAATTCAAGCACTCCTCGTATCTTAACAGTATGATTATATCTTCATTTGCGACTAAACTTTTTACTAAACGTCACTTCTATTCGAAACGCGTCTCACTGAAAACTCTCGTTACGATAACGAAAGTCTCTCTGGCGGAAAACGCATACAAACTCGGTCACCTCGTGACATCAACCTTAGAACTCCATCAACAGCAGGCCGGAGTTAAGATTTATGTATACAATTATTAGGTATTCACGGCGAGTTTACCGAAATCCGGTGACGTTTAACGCGCGAGTTTAGGGGTACTTCCTTAGAATTTCCTTCGAATTTCCCGGACAATGCTCGGGGTCGGCCGTCTTACTCCGAAGTTGTAACAAGCGGGCTAAAGTTATGCGAGTTAAGTGAATTGTACCGAGTCCGGTGGATATGGGACGTTTTTGTGCCGAGGTAAATGAGTTGTCGAAGTTCCGGATGTGGGGAAATTTCCAGTTTCTGAAAAGGCGAATTTGTAACGAGCCAATTAAATGTGTTTTTCATTAGGGAAATGGTCTCTTTACTTGAAGTTAAAGTGTATACAGGGTGTTAATTAATTGAGTGCCGATACTTATCCAAATATTCACATCCTAAAGTATCGGCCCTCAATTAATTAACACCCTGTATAGGGTATTCTAATTTAGATTCTCTGATAGGGGTTGAAAAAGAGGGAATTGTGAACATAATATCGGAATATCTAGGTGACTGGAGTTTAATTCAAAGTTGTTTATAGTTGGGTTCGCTGTTGCCGGTCACGACGCCAGCTCCCCCGACGACGGCCACACCCCAAATTAGGCCCCCCTTCGAGGCGAGCAATCTCATCAATCACATATCCAAGCCGGCGGACGTTTCGCACGTAAGTGATCCTTCTTATGAGTTGTACGAAACTGATTGGTACTGCATGGAAGTGAAAATACGTAATTAAATTTTCGCGAATCCGGGAAAAATTCCGGCCGCCGCTCCTCTCGGCTCGGCGGGTCGCGGAAATAAGAGATTTATTGGAATTGAAGTTTTTTAATTCGCGCAACGAAGAATTGCAGATAGACTTTGCCGGAGTGAAGTCTAGCAATAACTTTGCGAAAATGTTTATTTAAAGGAAAATCCAATTTATTCTCGGGAATATCCGAGAGTGTAAATACGACGCAAAAATATTTCAATTTCATATTTTAATTTATTTTTAAAATGAAAATAAAACATTGTTATTTAGCTTGCATAAAGCTTTATTTAAATCTACTTCGCAAATTATTAATAATAATTTTTCTCTTCTTTTCGCTTGACATGCAGTGGTATCCAAAAATGGTAAGTACTTAAATTACGCAACTTCCTAACTTACTATATACGATCAATTATTTTCCTCGCGATCGTTTAAGTTATAGTTTACCTATGTAACTTTAGTAATTCGTCTCTTTTAAGCGCGCCTTTATCGTGCGGGTTAATTAATATCGCTACGTTCTATCGCGCATAGGTGAGGTAATTAGAGTTGCTTAACAATCGCTTCTAACGAAGCCAAACTGAACTTCCTCTAGCGATTCGTTGTTGAACCAAAAGTTGTATATACATTCCGAAGTTACCGACGAACAAGTTCATTTTTGGGCCACAATGTTTCGATATTAATTGTCCCGAATTTGTGTCTCCGGCGCGCAACTAATCAGGAAAATTCGAAATTAACAGTTACACGCAAATGTGTCGTGTGCAAGTTGACATTTGATCAAGCGGACTTGAACTTTCGGATATGTAAATATATATAGTCCGTTTTGTTGCAGAATTTGCGCTCAATTAGGGTGATGTTTATCTATTAAAGCTCTTTAAAGCTTCTATAATAAATTTCATCATCAGATTAGATATTTACATGACATTATAAAATAACTAATAATGCCTGAAAAAAAGATTGTTGCCATAAAGCTGATTGCACATTGATAATCGACCGTTTCGGCGCATAAATCCCCGGAATGAGTTTCCGAAAGCGAGTGCACTGTCTGCCGTGTGAATATATTTCTAATTTCACCGGCGCAACACCTCAACAATAGATCATCCTTTAAATTTCCTTAGGAAGTATCCATCATGCCCTCTTTTCCCGTATTTTAAAATCATGGCCATCGCGTACAGCACATTCATTTCCTTGATCTATGGGATGAAATATCTCTTGAAGCGCCGCATAACAGGTACTTTTATATTACCGCCGTCGAGCACCGTGGAAAAAATACACCGATCAATTTTACACGACTACAAAAGAGAATTAATTGAAGTCGTTGTGTTTTATCAATTATTTCTGTTACTAATAAATTAACGATTTAAGATACACAATTATAGAATAATTTAAAGTGTTATGATTATAATCTGTTGGGTTTTTGGGTTTTCCTTACATCCCCTACGACTCGGCTCCCCATCTATCACCGAATCCCTCGTTCCGCTTTCGCCTTCGCTATCTAATCTAGAGGCGCTTTTGCAGCTGAGGTTGGCGGCCTTGAACGAGGCGTACACCGGCGACATCCACGGCGTCAGAGGCGCCGATTACGCCTGTTATCGCGAGGCCCGGAGGGCCGGCCTGCGGGGCACTTTCAGGGCGCTGCTCTCTTCCCGCGTGCAGAACGTAGATTCCATCGTCCGACAAGCCGATCGGAAATTGCCGGTTTGCAATCTGCGAGGAGAGGTGCTCTTTAATTCCTGGTGAGTGTCGTTTATCCCGGGCGCTGTTTGCCATCGGGATTTTTTTTGTTCGTTTCGTTCGATTCGTCATTTTTTTTGTTTGTTTTGCGAGGTGTTGAATTATTGGAATAAATGAATATTGAGTGATGTTTTCAATTAGGCGTGGAAACGGTTTTTGGAAATTGCCGATTTTGAGTTTGCATTATCTGATTCAAACGGTTTTAAATCCCTCGCTTTCATTCAGTGTACACAGAATGTCGTGGGTGGATTGAGTAATTGTACGAAAAATGTTTCTCCGGATTACTCGCAGAAATTACTTCGTGTTTTCAACCATGAAAATATTGCGCAGGAATCTAAATTTAGAAATTTTTACAAGCAAAAATCAATTTATCAAATTCTCCTCGTTCAAATTATTTAAAACTTATTCAGGATCATATTTGTGTAAGTACATATTCTGCTCTAGAGAACCACTTGCGATACATTGTTAATTTTTAGTAGGTAGAGGGTGCCACATATGGACCACCATAAGCACTTTTCTCACTAAAAAGTCGAATTTTAAATTTTAATCAGCTTTATTTACATTCAACAATTCCTTAACTATTTAGTTAAGAAAAACTCTCATAAATAAAAATAAAAATAAATAAATTCTCGCAATAAAATTCTCCAAAAAAACAAAATCTTTCAATTGATATTTTCTAAAGCATATCATTTTTATGAACTTTCAGAAAGTTAACATATGGACTACATCCAGATTTTTCCATTTCTAGAATATAATTGACTAATTCATCCTCCAATTCACTTGGTAATGTTGGTTGTCTCCCAAGTTTTTAGGTGGTGATATCATTAAGTGATTTGTTTTGGGTGTATGTTTTGGAAGCATTCAAAAGGCCAATTTTCTTTTCTCGTGCATTTTTAATTGCCTCCGTCATAGCGTTTTTTATCCCATGCTTGTCCGGTCGTCTCTATTGTTTTAGAAGCCATTCTAGAACATAAAAATTAATTTTTAGCCACTCCATATTTAAAAAAGTGCCACTAGTCCATTTTGTGATTTTTTTTTCAGAAAATTGGAATATTAAAACAAATAATACAAATAATACAAATAATTGCAACATGACTCACCTTCCTCGTGGTTTTATCCACTTTCACATAAAATAGAATTTTTTGGATTAAAAAACTTCCAAAGTTCGCTAGAAAATTACATCGCGTGTTGCAGAAAACTAAAAAAGGCTGTCGTAAATATACGGGTGCATTCTGAATCACTGCAAGCGACAGATGGGTCAAGGGAGGAATGTTGCTTAGTCTATGCTGATCATTTACTCGATATAAAGCACGTTCTTTTTAAAATGGCGGTGGTCCATATTATAAGACCGGTCCATATTTAGCGCACTTACTCTATCCGTAGATTTCTCAAAATCCCTAATTTACGGTATATATTTTAGGAGCGACGTGTTTAAGGGAGACGGTGGCCCGTTCCCGCACCCGCCCCGAATATACTCCTTCAGCGGCAAGAACGTGATGAGCGACTTCTCGTGGCCGATAAAAGCGGTCTGGCACGGGGCGCTCCTGAACGGCGAGCGAGCCTTGGACACGTCCTGCGACGCCTGGCAGACCTCCTCCCGGGACAAGGTCGGCCTGGCGGGCAGCCTGAAGGGGCCCCGGCTGCTCGAGCAGTCGCCCTACTCCTGCGACAAGAGGCTCATACTGCTCTGCATCGAAGCCACCACGGAGCAGTTCTTGCAGCGGAGACGGCGGGACGTCGAGGAAAGGTAATAAGCGATACGCTCTTTGATTATTTCCCGGTACAAAGCTCGAGAATAATGCGGCTCGGTCGCGTGGAGGGTGAGCGAGTGTGTATAGCGCAGCCGAGGGCTAGTTACACGCATCGCATTCATGCGAAAGGAACGTAGGTACATCAAAACCGAAAAGTGATTTTCCTTCCGCCGAGCTTCTGAGAAAAAATTTGTTTGTTCAATATTTTATTATGATAGCCGAAGGCTCGTGCTGTAGCGGTAAATAGAGGGTGCGTTCTTTCTGAGATGCTACACAATACACACAAAATAGCGTACTCGGGAAAGATGCTGAAAATTAGTTGTCAAGAATGTGGACATACGTACAATACAATATGCCGTACTTTATACTCCATTCGCATCCCTGCTGTGCAATAAAACATTCTACAGGGTAATTCGTACAAAAAGGAAAAATATTACACAATTTATTTTGAAAGCTCTCTTTCTAGTTTTCATTGCTTAAATAAAATTGATTTATTTTTTGTTGCAGTGAGGATCTGCTCAACGAAACCGACTACTACAACCTATTGAATTCCATTCATTGAACATCGTCATATTACCTAGTTAAAAATGTTCCATCCATACTCATTACTCCATATAGACTTTTTGTGTCACGTGTCGTATATGTTAAGACCTACGTTGTTGTTAAGAAAAAACTAAAAAAGAAACTAAAATTTCGACTTGTACAACTGCAGTCGCTTTTACGTTTAAGTATTATGGAAATACTTGCATTTATTTTATACAGGGTGGACAGTATCGCGGAAAGTATCGCGTCTTAATAAGATTACATAAAATATGTATACTGGTAGATAAAAAAATAATGGTTTTACTACAGCATATCAAACCACCCTGTATTTAGAAAAAATATTTTAATTGCACCCTGTAGATGTATGCATGACACTTTATTTTTTCTGTATTTATTTGCCATTCTAAATTTGTCATCCAATTTATCGAACTTCTTAGATATTTCCAAATTAATTTTACAATTATTGTACTTTGTTAGTAATATTCTAGTTACAAACTATTAGGATGATTTTAATGAAAACTATTTTAGTCTTTTTTTAACGTTTGTATATTTTAATTAATTTATTTTTTATTGTTCGGCTGTTAAAAAGTCGATGGAGTGACTGCGGTTGTTATATTGATACCAAATAAATGTAAATAGGTAAGGAAAATTCCGGCGTTTATTATTTTTTTATACTTTTTTATTGAATATTAAGTCGTCGAGAAATTAAGTAACCCGTAAATCTGAATGTCTTTGAATAATAATTTTACCGAGTCAGTAATTGATTGCTTTAGATTCTCTTAGCCGGCTAAAGTACACGTAGAATTACAGAAGACCAATCGAGAAGATAATTAAATACAATTTAATTACATATCATCAACTTGTTTTATTTACCTGTTGTATTATTTTGTGGCTTCTTTACGGATCTTCCAATCGAGTATTAGACCTTATTTTATATTAAATTACAATTTTATTTTCTTTATTAAATAATACATTCGTTTAAATATATTTAAGCTAGTGTATAAAGTTAATTATAGTATGTAACCCACAACCAAAAAATCCACAATATCACAGCTAAATTACTAATAAATATTTACAATTTACATCTTTAATATTTAGTTTTTTTATCAAGTTGATACGAGTATTTCGGGAAAAATAAGACAACTTAAATAATTTTGTTGCAGCGAAAACAACGAGGAGAAGAGCCGAAGGTACATGTTATCATGATTAGATGTTTGTGGGTTTTTTCGATAAATCATTATACCTCGTTTTTAATTTGGAAGAGTCGAGATCAATAGATAACTTTCCTGTGATTAGTTATGATCGCAAACCCATACCGTTGATCATAATATTAGCTAAAGCGTTCCTCCTCTTCCTCCAAGCTCCCATTCCCTGGGCGTGGTACTGAAGCTGCTTGTACCAAATCGCCGTTTGCTCTTCGTCTTCAGCCTGGAACAAACTACATTGAACCCAACGTTTTCGCAATCAAATATTCTCACCTTAAAAATGAAAGTGTCTTTTCCCAGCAGCTCCTGCACTTCGAAGTAGCTTTGCCAAGCCGGATCGGCGGCGATCACGCATTTATCCAGGTACAGTGGCTCCCTCAGCAGGGAGTACCGACCGTTCTTGTCGCGGACCAGCAGCAGAGCGGCTTCCCGCACCCCGTGCTTCGTGAAGATGAGGTTGTTGTCCTCCGACCGTTCCGTTGATTTCCCTGAAGATGGCTGAAAGGAATACACCAAACATGTTAAAGACTCGCTGAAAATACACGCCTAATATGCTCACCTTTCCGTTGATAACCAACATAGCGTTCACAGGAGACAATTTGATAGTCCTGCCCTTCCTCCAGTTGTTGTCGGTGGGCTGGGTGAACAACAATTTCCCTTCCAAAGCGAACTTGGCTTCCTCGTGGTTCCATTCCAGCACGTCCACCGCTATCTTCCTCAATTTGATGTTGACCAGATCCATTTCGGTGCTGGATCGCCGGCCGGAATTGCTGCCGATTCTTCTCCACAATTTGCTGGGCACGTCCTTCGTCTGAGAGTTCATGTGGTTCAAGTGCAGCTCGATCTTGTGCTGGGCCTCCTTCAATTCCTCCTTGTAGTCGTAGTGCGTCGGCGTTACTTTGTACAATCTGGCTAACAGTAAGGGGTATTTGGTGACCCGTTGCACGGGAACCATGAGGAACGAGTTGAGATTCATGCGTCTCAGCATGGTGTTTTCCATCTGGGACACCCTTAGGAATATCCTCAGCAGTTCCTTTTCTTTTTCGAGGCTCGCCAGTAGAAGGCTGGCCGCTCCTTGTCGCACGCAGTAGGTCTCGAAGGCGTGCAGCATCGCCATTGATTCTAGGAACAATTTACCGATGTTGACCGTTAGCAGATCCTCGTCGCCTTGCTCCGAGGCTATTTCGACGGCGTCTCTCAGTTTCTCCGCTAAAGTCTGACTGTTCTCTAACAGCTCTTCTACGTTCAAGAAGATAGCTGATAGTTGCTCGGGGGTTAACAAACCAGCGACTAGCATCGGTTGGTAGAACTCTTCGAGTATGATCTGCAAGTCTTTGCTGTATTTCTCCTCCGTTTCGACGATTTCGGTTATTATTTCCTTTCTCTCCGATCGTCGCTTCGTGCATTTCCTGCACAGCAGGACCATATTGCCGCTGGCTGCTTCTAAAGTAGCCTCGCAATCCTCGCACAGAGCGAATATTTCTTGTTTCGATCGGTATTTGCTCAAAGAGCTCTTGCTGGTTTCGGATCCCACGCCGCTGTCGTTGCGCTCTACTTCGGTACCTTTCGACTTTTCATCCAGTAACGTTTGGGATATTATCAAGGAGTTGTCTTCGCTTGAATCACTGACTGTGCTCATTTGGGATGGGGGAATGTCGTCTTCGCTGGTGCCGTTCGTTGGGAAGTAATTGTAGCCGTCTTCTTGCACTACTCCTCTTTCCTTGGCGTCTACCAGGTAGCTTAGAATGTCGTATTTGGAAGCTCCTTCGAAAATGGACCTAAAACGGAAATTGAGGTGCAATTTGTAGGTAACATAATAAATTTCTTACCTTGTTGTGAATTCCTTGTCTAAATTGATATCATCCAAAATGCTCGAAGGCGGAGGGTTGCTGGGCAAAGGCGGCGGTATCTCGATGTCCTCGTAGATGGGATCGTTCTCGTTGACCTTAATGCATTCGTATATATGCTCGTCGGACTCGCTGACTTCCACGACCCCGGAATCGGCCAGCAATTCGTAGAACTTGGTCCGGTTGGCGAGCTCCTCCTCCGTCACGGAGCTGCGATTGCTGTGATCGGTGTAGCAATCGCTGCCGGGATCGATCAGCTCGTACTGCGTGGAGGAGCTGTGCTCCGACGACACGTCGTCGTAGATGCTCTCCAGGCGAGGCCTGGGGATGGGCTCGTCGTACGTGGGATCCGGCAGCGGCAGGATCGAGCACTTGCCGACGGCGAACTTCTGGTCGCGCCGTCGCCGCGTCGCGTCCGACTTGCCGCAGACGTGCGGCACCAGGTTGCGCCGGACGGCCTCGACGGGGTCCCGCAGGAACTCCCGCAGCACTTCAGAGTCTTTGTCTTTGTCGGCGGGTTCTTTGGTATCGTTGGCGGCGACCGGGCTGGTGATGTAGATGCTGCTGTACTGCTTCTCTTGCTTGTCGGTGCTTATCGATAGCACGCCGGCTATGGAGTCCTTGACGACGACCGATGATTGATACATTGGAACGTTGTCATTGACGTTGACTGTTGAGTAACAGTCGTCTCCGTTTATCATAATGGAGGTTTTCCTTTGGGCGTTTTCTGTGATGCTGGTGTGATGTAGACTCCGGTGGTCGGAGAATTCGTTCTTTATTTGGATCTTGTGAACGGCTGGTGGTGTTGTGATTTTAACTACAGTTTTATTAGTGCTTTCTGCCGATGGTGTTTCTATTCGAATGGCCGTGCTAATACCGTTTTGCTTGTGGACGCTTCTCTTTCTGGGTGGGGCTGCTGGTGGAGTATCGTCTGTAATAATTGTATTTTTGTAGGAATTGTCGTTAATGCATTTATCTAATTTGGCTAAGGCTAGCTCTTCGTCAGGTGGTCGGCGAGTTTCTTCGACTTTAATTGTTTTGTACGGTTGAATTATCGCGTCGACCTGATTGTCGAGTGTTTCGTCAGGTTTTGCCGTGGTTTCGATTCTGTTTTTAATGAGATTGTTCAGGTTGGTGATCGATACGTTTTCGTTTTTATCCAAAATGGCGATTTTCTCGTATACGTTTTGTTCTTTAGCATGTTCGACGACTTCTGGGGATTGGGGATCGTTTGCGGTGAATTTTTTGATTTTTCTGTTAATGCCGTCCAGTCTTTCTAGATCAGAGAAGTCTATTTTTAGGCTTTTTCTTTGTTTTAGTTGTCTCAACGCTGTGGTGTCGTAGAAATTAATTTTAGCCTCTTCCTTTTTTATTCTGTCGCTAAGGCTTCTGTATAAAGGAACGTTTCGTCGCCGAAGAATGTCGTTTTCTATGACAAAAAAATTAAGGTAATAAAATTGTAATGTTTAAAGCATGAAATATTATCTTGCATAATTATTTCTATTAATTAATTTAACCAATAACTGAATTAAATTATTATAGGCATTTGAATTTCAAACAAAAATATTACCTATTATTCAGGTCAACGTTATGAATCTATTGTTCTTATGTTATTATTGAATTTATGATTGATGATGATAAATAAAAATGATTCATTAAAATTTGTACTTTTGTGTTCACTTTTTTAAAAACAAGAGTGTTGTCATGATTTAATGTCCTCAATTAAAAGCTAGTTTAATCTTTTATTTTATTTAACATCTTTATGTGATGGTATCTGGATTTATAACCAATTACTTTAGAAACGGGGACAATGGTTTCTTAACTCGATTTTATTTTATTTAACTGCTATCTTTATTTTAAATACTTAACGATGAATAATTACCAATTAGCTGAGTGTCTTCTTTAGTTTCGACCGCGTCGTCTTCAGGCGTAGCAAGTTTAACGTTTTCCTCGAAAACATCATCATCGTTATCGTCACTAATCGCAGTAATTTCTTCCGTGCTGGATTCCAAATCGTTAGAAACTAAAAATTGCACCTTCTTTTTCGAATTGGGCAACGGTATGTAGAATTGCGAGCCGCTGGCTTGTCTCTCGTGAACCGGCGAAGGAGTACGTTCGGAGGTTTTCTTTAAGATAGACTTGAACTTTTGGTTCAGTTCATTTTCCGCCGCTTTGAGCGCCGACGAATCGCTTCGAGTTCGCAATTTCGACGGTTCGTTCTGCGAAAATGAAAATAGTCGATTAGAGTTGGAAGTAACTGTAATTCGAATTGCACTCACTGTACTGGGTTTCTTTTCTTTCGATGCGTCGGGAGTATTGGCGGACTTCGATAGAGATTTCAAACCGTTTACTGCTACTATACCTAATTTGGACGGTTTGGAAATGGATTTGGTCGGCGTTGATAATCGTAGTTGGACGTCTTCGAAGTCTTTATCTTTGATGGACGGTCTTGTGCGGATTCTTTGACCGTTTACGAAGGTTATCCCCGCTTCTTTGGACGTCGATTTTTCCTTCGAAACCAATTCGTAAGGATTTATGTCGCATTCTAGTATCGATCTCCTTCCGACTGTTAAATTGTAGGATTCTATGCGCTTTTCAGCTGAAATACAAGCGTCATTACTCAGTTAAATGCGTTGAAATACCTGATTACCTTTCGTTTTTGTACCGTTCTTGCTCTTATGATCTCCATCCGCTGATTTGCTGGGTGAGACAGATCTTGTCCTGCTGTGGTTGGAATTTTCGGTCACGGATAACCGAGATTTTCTAACCAAATCGTAAGGATCTGGCGATGGTAAAATCGATGGTCGTTTCGATGAAGTAACCCTCACGGTACCTCCCCGTACCGGAGTCGAAGATGTCGGAGCCTCTGAATAGTATCGAACAGTACCGTATTTCGTAGGCTGCTCCACCTAAATACACAGAATCAAAATAGCATATTCGCGATTCGGAGATGGTTAGTTCCTCACCGGCGAGAGCGGAATACGCGCCCCCTTGCACTTCTTGCACGTCGACGGCGCCTTCTTGCTCGACTTCTTGGTGCCGTTCACGTAATCCGGACAAGCGCACAGCACGAAAGCGGGCGCCAGGAAGAACCCGCCCGGCGCCCTGACGCTCCCGTACAACCACGGATCCGCATAACGCATTGATCGCGAGAGTGCGCTTTCGCCGTCTATCCTGCTGCTTTCGCCCTGCAATCACCGGCCACTCCGTCAATCGCACGATCTGCACGGTAAAAGGGTACTTACCCTGAACGATGCGTAACTCGAATACGAAGTATCCGGCGGCGTCGTTGGAAATCGGCGCATTGCATGGCTAACCACAGCAGCCATTAACGTATGTGTAATTCGGCATCACTGCAATTAAATAATAAACTTAATTAATCGTAAAAAAAGTAACTACTATTAAAACTAATAAGATTCTAAAAGATTTTAAATAGGTAGTTGTGGTTCATTTCAAATGGTTTAGGATGGTTTACGATGGTTTATAATAATTCAGGTTGGTCTAGAATGGTTCAGAAAGATTTAGAATGATTTAAAATGGTTGGGGATAATTTAGAATGATTCAGAATGATTTAGAATTATTCAGGACGTTTTAGAATGGTTCAGGAAGATTTAGGATGGTTCAGGTGGGTTTAGAATGGTTTAAAATGGTTCAGGATAATTAGCAATGGTTCAGGATAGTTTAGAAAAGAATGATTCAGAACGATTTCAAATAGTTCCGGACGATTCAGAAAAGTTCAGGAAGATTTAGAATAGTTTAAGTTGGTTCAGAATGATTTAAAATGGTTCAGTATGATTAGAAATGGTTTAGGATTGTTTAGAATGATTCAGAACGATTTCAAATGGTTCAGAAAGATTTAGAATGATTTAAAATGATTCGGGACGATTTAGAATGATTCAGGACGATTAAAAATAGTTCAGGATAATTTAGTGTGGTTCAGGACGATTTAGAATAGTTCAAGCTGATTTAGAATGGTTTAGGACGATTTAGAATCGTTTAACAGAACTGTATTACCGCACGCGCTTTAAATTACTTGAAGGTAAATAAATATAATAAAGAACTAACTGTTCGAGATTCTAATAGCCCCGTAACATCAAAATCGAGTAAACATGAGGCAATTTCGTAATAACCTTTCGTCTAGGCAACATTTCGAAATATCAATATCGAAATGATAATAATTACAGCGCAGATTGCCGGGGGGTTCGTCACGACACCCGGCTCCGAAGAAGTGCATCGAAATCGAATAGTGCGCTTGTTGAACTTGAAGCGATGTCAGTTGAGCAATTCTGTAATTAAAATGGATCGCGGCCCACCAACAATCGAGGATATAGCGTGGAAAAAAAAAGAAACGGATCGCCTTTCTTTGCCTAATCGTCCTTCGAAATTTCCTAGTTCTATTAAACTAGGTTCGTTAAATCAGAACAAACTTGTACCAGGCAAACTAAATTACTTTAATTACGATTAAAAAAAATTGGTACTTAATGGACACCTATTAGATAATTACTGAAACTTGTGCGAAGGTTTACAATTTTTTTGTTACACAAGAATAAAATAAACATTTACTCCCTCTTCTGGTAAGATCTCAATAAAGGATTTAAGAATTAAATCGTCTTTATATTAAAAGACCCTGTGCATCAGAATCTAATTGTAGATAATCCACCAACGATAAATAACATACATCAATTTATCGAGACCTCGATCAAATTTCGATGCAAAAAGGTCGAATTTGCGCATAATTTTGCAATTTCCAAATGGATTGAATGGACGTTAGAGGAAGCGCTAACCTCGAGACTAATAAAGAACATTTCGACCGTTATTAAAAATTATTTTATACTCCTTAATTATGGCGCAACAGATCGTGCGAAATAAATTTTATTTAATCAAACGTTTTTTTTTTTCATAATATCCTGTGTTTACTTATTACCCCTATTCGACAACTGGAATTAATAGATTGATTGCACAGGAAATGTTGTCACCTTGTTTCGACGTTATAAAGCAATTGGATTATTTCAAAGTTTATAAAATATTTAAAAAAAGAGGATTAGTTATGGAGATAATAAATGTATAAAATTAGCCACAGTTTTTCCAGCTTTATGGCAAATTCGCCACAGAGAGTATACAAAATCGAATGAAAGTAACAGTTTCACACTTAAGGGTAACAGTCGTTGAAAGGCCCGTGGCGATTTGGATTCACTTTCGCCGTTCATTCGATCAGGTGCATGCATCATCAACGTCGAAGGTAGATGCTGCTGCCGCTCTTTATTTGGAATCGAAAATCGCCCTCGGGCGGGCAATCTCACCGGGCCCGATCTATCGGCACACTTACCCATATCGCCTTCGAACTTTTTCGTTCGATCGCTAATCGGCCGATCGGTGAGGTTGTTTAGAAATTTCGATATAATACGGCCGTATAAGTTGCGAGCAGATAAGATCTGGGATGTAATTTGATGCACGATTAGGAACGAAATTACCTAAGTACAGATACACATATTATGCAGATGTGTTCGCGGGTCTCGTGTTTTGAAAGTTTTATTTGATTTGTAGGTTGGAGATTTCGTGTGTGAATCGTAATTAGGTAATCTATCAATTTGGTAATCTTAATTTCTCTTCAACACGTACGATTTTTGCTTTAATAAATACGAAATAAACTCCATATAGTTTAAAGAAAAGGGATATTTTCCAATGTTTATGAACACCCATTGATGACTTCATGAAAATAACACGAATTGTCCACGTATAAATAAACTAATCAACGTTAACAATGGCATATTAAATTTAATAACTATAGTGATTATGAAACTTTTCATGGTGTTACCGTAGGAAGCATTCTAATAAGTGTACTTTAAATAAACTGGTGCACCTCTTACTTTCCTTGGACATATTAATCTCGAATAGTCCGGTTAACGAGCTGCATCTTTATAAAACACGAGACACGCAATTGAAAATCGAAAAAATATCATAATATCATAATAATACTCAAATAAATTTTAAAATTCCTGTCAATTAACGTCAGAAGAAAATCAAGTATTGGCATACCAAATACTTAAAGATTTTTATGCATATCTAATACTAAAAACTTTATTAGTCGATTACATTAGTAGAGTCTTTGGCCAATAAAAAAGTCGTTGTGCAGTTGAATATTCCCATAAACTGGACTATAAAATAGTGGATTACATACTGTGCGAAACCTAATCGCCCACCGAAGTAAAAGCTGAGCTAATACCAGAATGTTTCGAGGATGGGCGTGCTGTGAACTTGAAAACGAATTTTCTGATATCTTTCCTTTCCTACAGCGCTGAGAAACACCGCAGGCTTAATTACTAATCGTTTAATTTTTTTGGGTGAAGGTGAAGTTGGTCGAATTGTGTGTGTACGTGCATGTCGTTGACTTCTTTCGGAAATTTTGTGCGTTTTTACTTTCTTCTGTTATTTATCTATTCAGCGACGTGTGAGTCTTTCTATTATGCGTGAAATTAAATAATTAAATGGCCATTTCAATTTCGTTTACGCTGAGTTAATTACACTCTTCTTAATGAAATTGCTATAAAAAGTACCATCTCATTAAAAATGAATAGGTACTTATAAAAATTCGCGTTATAACCAGACACTAAATGTCGCAAACAACTATTCGACAATAACAAAGCGAATGTTCGACAAGCAATATTAGAAGAATAACAAAATAGTTTCGACGAAAAAGGTCTGTCTGTTATTTATATGTAAGAGAACCTTCTATTACAATTTTAATGAATTAGTATGCTTTCCAGTTTGTTAAATAAATACATAGTTAGCAGGAAATGACACGTGAAAGTCGAAACATGTTTCAAGTGATATAAATCATTTAAAAAGCCGCACGAGGTAATTGCAAGGAATTACGAATAAGATAAATGGCCAATTTTTGACAATGATCTACTTTCGGCGTTAAATCATACAAGTCGTTTGTTTTTACAAGTTTTAACTAGTTTCTATTTTTATCCAACTAGTGTTTCTTACACAAATCATTCGAAAGAACCTTGGCAAATGTGATTGATCTATTAATGAAGAATGCAGCCTCTACTTATGTGGTATTCAAATTGTTTTATTAACATTTAAGTTCTAATTATAACTGTAACATTCAAATGCATTTACAAGATCACATAAATAATGTTGGTTGTAAAACCAATAATTTCCAAATTCATGCATATCGTATTATTTCACAATGAAACAACCAAATAATTTCTATAGAGGAAGTTCCAACCTACCGTTTTAAGAGTGTAATTTTTCTGCTATTAAATTTTTAACTCATAACAGACATCCATAATTACTAAACTTTTACTTGATATTTATTATCAGAACCACTGGACTTGAACCAAACATTTAACGTAATAAAGGCAGGAATTTAATTGATGGTTAATTAATAACGTTAAATATGTATTGGAAGATGTAATAGGAAAGTAAAAAGCCGGAAATTAAAGAGAGAATTGCGTTTTTTCTTAGAATTTTTATTAGTTATTCCTTTACTACATTTTTATAGTGCATTTTTGTGGTTATTGATTTTATATGCAACATTTAAGAACTACATATTTCAGAACAGCGCAGCAGGATGTAAGTATATCGTGTTACTCTAATCGTTTATTCCGAGAGTTTTCCCATAAATTTTTCGATCGATTGCCGAAAGTAATAGGAAAAGTGAATTTTGCACTTTCTATTAGGCCAAGTTCGAATCCGCTATTATCAAACAAGGTGTGGTTATCTATGGTAATCCTATGCGTCCGTTGGTTACGACTATCTGCGTATATCTTTTTGCTTGATTTGCTCGTAACTCATAATAAAACTTTATGCGACAATCACTTTCTACTCGCCCGTAAAAAAACTCCTCCGAGCGAAATCGATTCGATAGCTAAAGAGATTAATGGATTGACATTATTTTCGACGATACCGTCAATCATAACTCAATAGACTCATTACCTGAACAATTAAATAAATATATCGATCAGCACTGCAGGCAGTGTGGGCGCTTTTAGGTAGGTACACATGCGATTAAGCGGATTCGATTGAAGTATCGGTATAGATAACATCGAAAATTTCCTAATCCCTGTGCTAGCTCAGTCGTTGTAGTTTCGGATAAACCGACTTCTTGAAGATGTGTTAATTCACTCACAGTCTTCGCAATTGCACATTAAAAGAAAAATTACAGAACATCGAAAACTTTATTAAAATTACTCGTACCAGCTAACAAGCTAACAGCCACCGGCCGAGTGTCCCCTTCTTTCCCGCGGTCTCGCCCTTCCTCGCATTATTTCTCCCGCTGCTGTGCAGCTTCGGCTCGAGTTCAGGGCGGTACCACCACATTACCCCCCTAACTAAAATGTATTTT